TTTACACACATAGATTGAAGGTTTTGAAATAAGTACATCATGCTGCTTAAATTTATCAAAATGTTTTCTGAACTATTTGGTTTCAGATAACGATGGTTAAATCAATGGAATCGTCGGCATTCATTTTCTATACAAATCCTGTGTTTGAATGTGGTTTGAAAATTATGTTGCAATTATATCAGATATATATATATACACACACTTGTCATTTTGTTAAGCCCAGTTAGCCCCCAGATTTCTGGGATTCAAATACAAATGTATTAATTTACTTGTTCAGATCTTCTTTTCCGGTTTTTCAAGATTAGCACCGAGATATACATTTCAAACGTAAATATATATGGTTATCAATGGTGGTTTATCAATGCGAAAAGTTTATAAAAAACATAGTTTAAAACCTCGTACAATGTTTACTTGTCAAAATCATATAGCAATACATAGATTGGTAACAATTTACTTCATTCATTAAACAGAAAATGTTCAATGTTTTAAATCATTACAATATGCTGCATACATTCATGAAAATGATAATTATTGTAAAGACAACTTTCTCATTAAGAGTTATAGTAAGTTATTTTATGTACAAATATATCATTGTCCTCTTTGTTTTTGAACTTTGACAGGTTTACATATTTTGTGACAGGTAAGGTAATATTAATATTGAACATAAATCAGATTTCTCAATGCAAAAGTTAATTTAACTAATCTTATTTGTGCTAATTTATTGGAGATTAAAATTATATTTAAACGACAACGATATTCGTAATTGAAAATTACGTTCATTATGATGACTTATTTCATTACTTAACGCTGAAAGAAACGAGAATGTGTGTATTCATATCAAACAATGATCTACACTTAGACTAACATATAGTTTGAAAGGATAAGATATGTAACATTAAAACACTAAACTCATATCTTATACCAGTATTTAGATTACTATACCAAATATTTTTAGCTTATACACTGTCAAAGTACGACTTTAAACATAAATAATACAAATGTTTCTTCTCCCTGATTGTAAGAGTGTCTGCTGTAACCAGTACAAAGCAATCAATAGATACATTCACTTACTGTCTTTTTTGTATGTTTAAGGAATTTGTGTGACAGGTAAATATGAGATTGTTGCATATATCTAATTTCATTTTTTTTTGTTATTCATACTTTGTATTTGACTTGTTATTTTCAAAATTCCATATAAAGAAATGGATAAGGAGGTATTTGACCGAAAACCTGCACCTTCTACAACAAATAACATTGTTTTATATGGCGGAATTATTGTACTATCTATGTCAGCCTCACTAACATTTAAATGTGCATAATGCGATCAAAATATGGAATACCGTCACCGTAGGGAACGTGTTACAGTATCGCGTTTTTCGGTTACAGTATAGAATTTTCAAGATGGAGGATTATTTGTTGGGAAGAGAGGTAGGTGATTTTTATTCCGGTCCATACTACAAGTAGTTTAGTTTCTAAAAGATGTTTTTGTGCCTTGCTTGTAAGGAACAGAATCCGGTATCTAGTCATATATTTCTTCAGACCCTGCACCGCAGGTTTATCGCTATATTGTCTCATAAATATGCAGATTTGACAGTTTTAAAATTTGAATCGAGAAACCACCTCATTTTTCTCCCATTCCGACATTATTTAAGCATTTATGCATGCTTAGAAAAAGTAAATCTGCAAAACCTTTATGTTAGGAAACGTTTATAAAAGTAAATGACCAGTTGAACCTATTTTCCTGTTGGTAAAATGCGTTTGAAAAAATAAACAATGTTACAGTATAGAGCGAGGTAATTTTTGCAGGGTTACAGCATAGACCTAGCGATTTGTATCCGATTTTGTTACAGTTAATACCCAGATTTCGGTTACAGTTTAGACTTCGATATTTTCTATATAATTATACTAGGTAAAATGTATGAATGTTACATAGACTTTTAAATCCCTGTGAGCTTATTAACCCTATGGCTATTCGTCCGTCTGTCGTACACATGCTTGTGCAATCTCATCCGCTTAGTAACTACTTGGCTAAATGTGATGAAATTGACATGACTTTCTACTAATGAAGTTGTTCAAATGGTTTCGGTTGCAATCGGGGATATGAAAACCCAAAACATAGATTTTGAAAAAAGGCAATGTTTAAAGACCCTTCTCATCTCGAACCAAAAGCATTCAAATCAAATCATGATCATGGCGTCATTTCGAATGCTTCTTTGTTGAAGTTACGATTAGTTTGTCATTGTTAAATAAAAAGTCGTTTTTTTTTATTTCAGACATCCTGTATAACAGTTTTCAAGTTTCTGAAAAAGAAAATAATATTGAAAGTTATAGAGTATAAATTAAGGTCAGACAATTACAATATCTTCTCTAGTGAGCCTGATGGAGGTACATAATAGTGGCAGAGTCGGGATAAGGCCGTCGACTTCAAATCATCCTTCATTTACTGCTGTAGTTGAAATACAATCATGACTTTGGACTCTTTGTATGTGAGGAATCTATCAAGCTAATCTACTGAAGGTCGGGGGTTCTAGTCAGGCGCTCGTGTCTAAAATGTTTCACATAATGTATCTGGGGTCTTTCTTTACACTAAAGCAGGAATGTTTTCACATGACCTCGGTGTCGTTGAAACTTAAAATACAAGAAAGCCAAACGTAACAAAACAGAATCGCTAAAGAAATTCCAACACAGCAAAATTGAAAATGTTCATAAACCCTTTTAAATACTTACAAAATACATTATGGTAGATGGAAATTCCAACTTAAAATAGAATTTAAGGTTGCAGTATTGCTCACTTGCCTGCTTGTTAATTGTGTCTTTTGACAGCCTATCTATGGTATGCAGGCTTCATAATCCCCGATCCCCTCTCAAAATTTCATTTTGTTACTTTCACTCATTGTATTCTTGTTTGGGGCACACACGAGTTTTAACCCGAGGGCGATATGCCGCTTTTCATAGAATGGCAATAACGTGTCACATTGAGGTTCCATGATAACCGCCATATGAACACATCCACAGATGTTAAAAAGTCTGAAGTGTACCAGTTCATGTTTAATGTGAATTCTGCTGAAGCCGGTGCTAAGAGGCGTGAACGGTAGCTCGCAGTTACCACTACCGTCCATGAACAGGTTTAGTCAAACTGAGCCTGCAACATTTTCATGTTTTCCGTGTTGGACTTCTGTTAAGGATTCTTTTTTCTCTATTTTATTACTAATGGACATTATTATAATGTGTAATGAAATCAAGCAATAATCTTTCTTCTCTCATTACAATTCGATAAAAGTTACTGTTGTTGTCGTGAAAACAGTCCTTACTTAGGACATTACTTATTCTGCAAAAAAGTCTCAATCTGAAACTTAAAGTAAGAAAAATAGCAAACAATTACTTTTCTGCTGAAGAAAAAAAGTAATACAACCTTTCAAGAATGTATTAGATAGAAAGGTATGAGTTATTTCATAAAAATAATGGCTACACGAACTTTGTTTGAAATTTGGCAAGTATCTAAACTGTAACCGAAATCTGGGTATAAACTGTAACAAAATTGGATCAATGTCGCTAGGTCTATGCTGTAACCCTTCAAAATTAACCTCGCTCTATACTGTAACATTGTTTATTTTTTCAAATGTATTTTACCAACAGGAAAATAGGTTCAACTGGTCATTTACTTTTATAAACGTTTCTAAACATAAAGGACTGACGTTTTGTAGATTTACTTTATCTAGGCATGCTTAAATAATGTCGGAATGGGAGAAAAATGAGGTGGTTTCTCGATTCAAATTTTTAAACCGTCAAATCTGCACATTTATGAGACAATATAGAGATAAATCTGCGGTGCAGGGTCTGAAGAAATATATGACTAGATACCGGATTATGTTCCTTATAGCTTACAAGCAAAGCACAAAAGTATCTTTTAGAAACTACACTACTAGTAGTATGGACCTGAATAAAAATCACCTACCTCTCTTCCCATAAATAATCCTCCATCTTGAAAATTCTATACTGTAACCGAAAAAGGCGATTCTGTAACACGTTCCCTACGGTGACCGTGTTCGAGTGAAAATATCATGGAGAGTTGCAAGATGTATGAAAGTTCTGTACAAACAATGCTCAACGCTATATTCCATGACTGATTTCTTTAAATAGTTAGTTTGTAGTTTTGATATCTTTAACATTGATTGGCACTATTTGAACTCATCATTCGTCAATAATATTCCAGGTGTTGCTGTTTCAATTAAATATAATCTAAAATTATACGAATAACGATCATTATAGCACGTGACTGTTACATGAAGAATTTAAATCAAATAATACATATCCACAATAAAAAACAATACGTTTTTTTACTTTAGAGGGATGGAGATGTGCCTTTTTCTTTCAAAGAAATTCTAAAATATAATAATTGTGTATAAGCATTAGTGTTGTCAACTGGAACATGTATCTACTATCTGTTATGCGAACTGAGACAAACGAGAAACCATTCATTATGTTTATGTTACTTTTTATTTAAAGCAATTAAATAGTTTGAATGAACACGGTTCAATAAAAAAACTATATAAGCATAACATTCCCAAACAAGTGCTCTTAAATATAAACGGGAATGTTACTAGAACTGACAAAACAACTATCTGTAACGAGATGTACATATCAAATTGGTAACATACTCTAAACAAATCACAACCAAACACGTTTTAATATTCGTGAATAACATCCATACATGCAATCAAATACGTGTATTACCGCTTGAAATTAAAGGATGTTATAGTAAGCTACTACTTTAGGGTGTCAAAATTATTTAGTATCAGGCAAGTCCATTTAACCGTGATATCTCATCCTTCACGAATACTTATATTTTCTATTCTATCAGATAAATTTAGCTTAAGATGTTTATTGATATATTTGTATTCAATAATGATTTTTAACATTAAATTTTTTTATATGTTATTCAATCAATTCTAAAAAGTAAATGATTAATACTAAATTTCAGATAATACAACAACTGAAAAATGGAGGTATCTGGCAAGAGACTTCGTAATTATTGTAAACCTTGTGAGCGACTTAAGACGTCAACATACTCGGATGGTTTCTGTTCACAATGTGCAGAAGAAATGTGTCAAAGATGTTTTGATACACACAAACAATTCAAGCTTAACCAGGGACATAAGCTTGTCCAATCAGTCGAGGCTAGATCAAAAAGCAAAGAAACACCAAAATTTGATAATTGTATAAAACATCTCAACGAAGATATTAAGTTTTTCTGTCCCGAACATGGCCAAGTAGGTTGTGGCGATTGTATGGTAATGTCCCATAAAACCTGTAAAGTGGAGTATATACTTGAACACATCGATGGATATAAAGACAGTAAAGAGTTCACAAAAATTAAGAAGGACATAGAGAAGTTTGACGATGAAGCAGAAACTATATTAGGACGCATCAGAAGCAACAAAGACCATTTAAAAGATGTCAACAAAAAATTTGCGCTTGATGTAAAATCATTCAGGGATGACATGATTGCACATATAACGAAACTTTCTGATGCAATGTTGAAATATGGAGATGATATCATGGAAGCAGACATGAAAAAGATCGGAAATCTAGAAAAAGACAATAAAAGCCTAGTTAATGAAACAAATGATATGAGAGCCACATTACAATCAGAAGCTGATCAACCTTACAAATTGTTCATCAGTTCCTTGTCATACAGACAAAATCTCCATCTCGTCCGAGACCAGCTAGAAAGAATCAAAGCGAACAATATGATCGAAAAGTACGACTTCATGCCTGACTGTAATCTCGAACAGTTGATGAAAACTTGTAAACAACTAGGAGTGTTACATAAGCCAAACGAATCTGGTGCAGGTACGTTTATAACTTTCGAAGTAGTTTTGATGATACAAACAAGATAACCATTTTATACTTATTATGTGTGTCATATCAATTCAAACGCCTAATATAAAACATTCTCATAATATAAAACATGTTGTAAGAAGTTGCATTTTTTTTAAAATTCCCTTTAAAGGTTAAAAATAAAAAGGGTTTTTTAAAATTTTTAAAACAAAGTTATACAGTGGGTTCTTATCCCCCCTTTTGTTAATTTTTCCGTTTTTTAAAAATAATTTCGTAAAAATCCTGGGATTTTTTTTGCTTCTTTTTGTTTTATAAAAACAATTAGAGAAGGAAAAATGTAAAAAACAGAGCCAAAAACCGGTGGGGAAAAAGGGTTTTAAAAGTTAAAAAACAAACCCGTTTTAAGTTTTTTATATTATTTGAAGTGTGTTGGGGAGCTGTTTTTTTGTATTTTTTTCGACTTAATTTCCTCTCCAAAACAAAATAATTGTAAAAGTTTAAATGTGTTTTTTTTTTTTAAATGAAAACAATTTAATAATTTTCAACTTTTGCATTATAAAAATTTTTTTCAGTTTGTTGCTGAAAAAAGACAAAATTGTTTGCAACCCAAAACCCAATCATTGACGGAAAACTTAATCAGGTGACATAAAACAACTGATTTCTACAGTAACTTAATATGTGTAATTTATATGCAATCATCTACAATACATTGGACTTTTAATGTGTATGCATTATGTAAAAAATATACCGTGAAATTAAGATTTATTTGGTTAAAAATTTGCTTTTAATTAAAGGAAAATTATATTTGTGGATAAATACAAGTGAAAATTGTTTTTCAGTTATGATGATAAAGCAGGCGGTCAACTTGGTTTATTTATTGACACCCACGTGGTTGATGATTATGATACTTTTGAAAATTTGAGATTGTGACATTGGGGAAAAGGCGGAGGTAAGGGAACAAATTTTAAAAAGCTATAACGTTCGAAAGAAATTTTAACTTGAAATCAATATTTAAAACATAAAATTTGGTTTTTTGTTTTTAAACCACAATTAGTTTTTTGTACCATAAATTTCTGCTTTAAAAGGGAAATTTAAAGGGAAAGGGCGTCAAAAAATTTTCATTACCTTCCCTTAGACTTTTGGGGCATATCATGCTTATGATAAAATCCGTGATACCTTTTCGTCATGAACCAAAAAAAAATGAATGTTATTTTTAAAAATGTTACTATAACAGTAAATATATGAAGCAGTATTCAGTTAAATATTCATTTTCATGTGTAAATACTTTTTGAAAACTAATTTATAATCTGCCATCAATACATAACAAGCAAAGTTTGAAAAATATAAGTTTGTTTTTATTTTTTATTAATAATATTTTTTCCTTTTATAAAGTATCAATATGAATAGTTTACAAGGAACATCGTGACTCTTTTTATAACGTATTCAATTAGTCATTAATTACGTTAAATAAATGTGTCTTACAGTAAACGTTAACCATTTAAGGTTTTCCTAAATAATTTATTTATTTGTTATTTATTGTTCATTTATGTATGAAATTATTAATTGCATAGTATTATATTCATACTTTATTTTTGTCTCATTCGTATACATACATTTTTATACATATTTACACATATTCACATAAAATCTGCATACGACCATTCTATTAAAGAATTTTAAGAGACATTATATCAATGATAAACATAATCAAGACCTACACAGTTAGTCTAAGACTAAAATCAAATAGATAAATTACAATGTATTTAAACACAATATTAAAAGTAAGGTAACCATCGCTAATCGAAAAATAAAAACTGCTAAGAAATTGAGAATTGTAAATCGGAGCCCTATCGCGCCTATAAAAACGTTTTAAAAGATCGATTATCATCCAAGATAAGATCTTGCATGACCTGATTAGCAAGGATTACCTTAACCTAGGTAAAATACATTATCATGTTTTAAGCAAATATAATGGCATTATTTACAAGAGAATAAAAGACGACGTTGTAGAATGTTAAAACAGGTTTTGGCACAATAACGTATCATTTCAGTTTTAGTGAACAGAAATATTAATTGTTCATTTTTAGACATTTGTAAAAATGCACTATCTACTGTTTTAGCCTTATCAAATAATGATTGTCGCAAGTCATCGAACACAAAGCAATCAAGAATGACATGGCTTTCGTCTTCAATACTGTCACAGAACTGGCATTTTCGTTCCAATACATCTAAGCCTTCGTAACGCCCATTTTCTATGCGTAAAGGCGCAACACCACAACGAAACTTGCTAAATGCAGTGCGATGACAAGGAGGCATAATGAGTTTACAATATAATTCTGTCTCATATTCTGTTTTAAACAGTCGATATGTACGCAACTTATTGCCACCACGACCAGAAGGACCTGTGACACTATTCAAAGATTCGAGCCAGTTTAAAACTAATTTTTCTTGCAATTTAGTTGTAACAATATTCACTTTATAGTATGTTTTGGAATGGAAATTCTTATATCACTATATTGGTGCGCATTACAATTTTTTAACATATCATTAACATAGAAAACCAGTTCTTACATGATCTATTTGCTGCAGATGCAGTACAAAGTGCAACTCGTTTGTAGTAATTGATTAATTAATTTATTCATTATTTATTAATTAATTAAATATTTTATTTATTTAATTAGTGTCTCTTTATTTATTATTTGATTTATTTTATTCTAATTCCAAGTTAATTACTTATCAAAGTTAAATACTTATATATTTATAGTTTTTAATAAATCAATTGATTAATCAATTAATTTATTTATTTATTGTTTTTATTTATTTATTTTGTTATAATTTAAAGTTTAATACTTTTCAAATGGGATGACCCTTTATTGACTTTTACAATAAATAACACATACAATATAATTTATTTCTAGCTATCGGTGTGGTACCGCATAACTATCAGCATAATCTTCTACCTGGATTAGGAGATCGTTCATGTGGATACCATTCAGACGGCAAGTATGTGTTTATTGCTTTTTTGTTAGAATATACTCTTACCTTCTCTTTTAAATATGTTTGCGATTAAACGGACTAGAAAATTAAATAAATATACAACTAAGCAAAGTTCTCTCTAGACGATTTATTTATAAATATTTCACTGGATGCACCCAAGTTCCGAACAATAAATAAATATATTTTTCTTTCTTCTACTATTTTGTTTTATCTAGACGACATATATTGAATAAGGGTATATTCAGTGAATAATATCGCTCGATCAATTGTTATTTTCAATCATATAAAATATGTTTGAGTGTTTGAGTACGGTTACATTTAAGCGGTATTTCTGTCTCACTATGATTGAAAAGTATGATTGAAAAACGAAATGCTGAAGCAATATATTTTAATATCTTCATCAAATATTTTATTAATATAAAATATTTTAAGTGAAGTTCTGCTGATAAATAACATGTAAGTTCATGCAAATATAATTATATTATAATTTACCATAACTTGAACAACTAATTTAGCTGTTTGTCTTTCATATTCAAAGTCTTTAACTAAAATGAAAACTTAATCAGCGATTTCATATGACATGCCGAAATGTATTTTATAAGGACATGTTGTACCTTCAAATTGGCAAGCAAAATAAATAATATAGAATATAAAATTTCAATCTTTGCTAAGTTTTGTTATAATTATTCAAAGTTTGTTACCGTCTATTTTGTGTAATATTCAGTACCTCTTGGTTTATTAAATGAAAATGACAACAATATTTTCATTAAGCTACAGTCAAACTCTAGTTATACTTTGCATGCTGAAAGGATTGTTGTCTGCAGGTTGGTTCATGACCAGATGTTAAATTATAGTTTGTCAGGTTTGTTTGCAACTCAGGGTTTAACTATTACACTAGATATATCCTAGTTATATACATTGATTTTCCCACATGTGAAATACATTATGTGGACAATGTTTCTCGATCACTCGCTAATTTTCTACAAAAAGGAATATGCAATGGATGCTTGTTTTCAATAATCATTCATCATATGTCAATTTTATAATAGACTCAAATCATTCACTATGATCTACAATAGTGTGTTTTTTTTCCATTTATTTAATAATTGTCGATAATGAATTACAAATATATTCTATGAATATCCTGTTCCGTCACCCTTCGGATTATATAACAAACGAACATATTGCAAAGCGTTAAGTAAACGGACAGTTTTTGTTTCCAAAAAATCTTTACAACCACATTTTATTTCTAACGTATTTGTGAATGTTAACCTAAGTCTCTTTAATTAAGTACATGAAGTAAGGTAGAAATATATTCAACACATTCTTTGGGATAAACATCTTTTTTGTATATCCGAATATTCTTTAAATGCAGAATAATTAAATAATCAAATTTGTTGAAACAATATATTTTTCATCTGTATCAAATACGTAATTTTGAAATACTTTGATTCATGTAAGACCTTCCGATACATTATATTCAAATTGAGTATATACATGAACACACATCTTAATGAGATAAACACAGTTACCGTTTTATTTAATGTGCTAAAAATAGTTAACTTACTGTTATCTTTACCGTAAAGGTACCAATTATCTTTTTTGTTAAAATTTTGAAATTAAATGGTTTATTCTAAGTAAAAATAAGACTAGATCAGTAGTTTTATATTATACGAAAGATGATCCAAAAAAATGCAAATGTTTGGTGTAATGCTATATGGTTCAACAATATAATGTCATCATGTATTTAATAACGTCCAGCATCGTTTAACGAAATATTAGGCAAAATAACGAATCATTGAAAAACTACATACAAAACAAAATTGTGGCCAACGCGGCGAGCGTCGTAGCTCATTTCATAACGTCTCTTTCATAGTAGGTTAAAACACCGTTGACTAAAAGGCGACAAGTGAACAAGACTGCTATCTGTTCATTTTTTTATTCAAATTAATTTGACTTATTTTCATTGTAATGAATATAGTGTTGGATAATGCCTGCAAACCATTGCTGGTCATACAATGCGACATTTTTACAATTGCTGCACATAAAGGTGTCAGAACTG